ATCAAAAAATTATTTGCATCTTCACTTGAGGTCTTAGAGATAGACATGCCACATGTACAACAAATCAAATACTGAACAGTGGCTAAGAAGTAGACTCAGAATGTATACTTGGGATGCGCTACATCAATCAGGCAAAATCAACCACTTCTACAGAGTGCTGCCTACTTCATTCATGAAGCACTAAGCTCAGAGCGGACACCGCAGAGCACAACATCACAGTCTTCAGCAGCACCGCTAGCTCAGTGGTCCCTTTTCAAAAGCCATCTAAGAGCAAAGAAATTGGGCTTAAACCTGAAGCCTAAGCCCGAGTTCTTCAGGTAGCTTTCCTAAACCAACAGTAATAAGCTTATCTTGTTGGATTTAGTTATTAACAACGAGGATTTAAAATTAGTCTACTATAAATTGGACAGCTCTTCAATGCCATAGCCCGTGTAAAAGGTAAATATTGAACTTACGCGCCATTTTTCAGAGTTCATAAGTTTCCTACTTTTGTTTTAGCTTTTAAATTGTTCATTACAAACATTCAAAAACAACTTCCTCCATAAAAATTTTAGGTAAGATACATTAGTTGTGGCATCTTTACTAGTAGATAATAATTTTACACAACAGTGAGTTTCAATCATGACCTTTGCACACACATGAGCATAGACATGGAAACACCATATATGCATACATGTGCGTGTACACGCGATGATGTAAAACTAAAACACAATGATATTTTAGAGACTGTCACAAATACATAATTAGCAAGTGGCTGTCTTTCCACGCCTCTTATATCGTTATTGCTTCTAAATTTGTGGCAGCCATAATAATTTGTATTTCGATCCATATTGCTTCAGAAACTCAATTTATTAATTACTGAGTCTTTTGCAGCGTATCTTATGAATTTAGTAGTAGTCTTAGTCTGTGGACTTGCGATGCTGATGATAAATAGGAACATTATTTCATTAGATGAAATCTTACCTTCAAAGGAAGAATTTTTCTGTGTTGTTTGTCAATAAAAGCCATTTACAAAACCCTCTGTCTGGCTGTATTATTGATCTGATTCCTAAACAGCAACTAATATGAACATTAATCTACAAATGACCGTAATTCTAAAATATTTCTGACAAACCGCTAGAGGTCCTGTTCATGGGGATGCATCAGTGTCATGTGAACAAACAGCCTTTTGCAGCCAAATGGATTTGTAATAAAGAAGATTTCAAGTCCTCAATCAGATACAAATTTAGGGGGTTCTTTATCATTCTAATAAACCAATACTTCCTGAAAAGATTATGAAAAGTGGGAAGGCTAAAAGGCTCCTGAGGATACTAGGAATTTTATAAGCATGCATTCTTCTCCATGGGGTCTTGATAACTTAATAAGGAAAACATTTATCACGGTTTAGGGAGCCTGGGCTTTTACCTGGAATGCCTAGTGAGAAAAATACATTTCCTGATTTGTGTGAAAAGATTTACCTTAGTTTCTGGAGAATAGCAAGTGTGTCCACATATATTTTCAGGGTCTCGACAGTTGACCACCTTGCAGAACTCAGCACCATGGTGGTCCTTCATTACCTTCTGGGTTTTAGGGTATGGAAGCCATATTTTCTGTAAGAGCTCATACCCAAGAATCATGCCATTTGGATTCCCTGGGGGCACCCAATCAACTTGAAGTGATCTGTAACAGATAGATACACATCTTTATATATACACATATACATATACATATACACATACATATACATACGTATACCTAATGTACACACACATATATATGACCTGACTATAGAGTACTATACCAAGGCTCAAATCAAAACTGGTGAAAAGACAAACTTTAATACAACTGGTCCATCCAGAGTAGTCAAAAAAAGTTCCATTTCGCCAGTTCACTAACTAAAATGTGCACAAAGCAGATGTTAATACAGTTAATACATTCAAATACATATGTACACTCATGTACATATATATTTTGTATACTCATATGTACATATGTATACAGTATGTTTTGAGAGTCAAAACTTTTATTTTTGGAGAGAGCAGTACATGATGAGAGTCTAGTGATCGCTCTCGCAGTTTCAGAGACAAGGAGAAAACAATTCCTGTGAGGTCCGGGAATTCCACAGGACACTAGGCTTCCTGAAGGGCACGGGTACCACGCCTTGGAAAGCTCAGCAAAAGCAGGATGTGGCAGGCCTACGCTCCTCTCCCACACACCCTTTCCCGTGCCCACATGATACATGAGGCTCTAGCACATGCCCCTTGTGGGCTTTAAGAATGTCTGGGACTCACAAAGACCCCATCGTGGAGTCCGGCATCCCAGAGACAATGTCTCTTCAGATCTTTCTACATGAATCTCTGTGGTTGGCTCTTCTCTTTCTTACAGCCAAAATCAAGGCCCCAACTGAGAAAATCTTCAGTAGTAATACTTTCCTTCAATTGTTCTCTGACATTTCTCCAATTCCCCAGATGGAGTCACACAACAGCAAGCTCACACCGGGTTTGCGGACAGAAATATAGGAATCAGACATTCCTAGTATGAATATTCCAACATCATCTTGTCCTTACAGAAAACATTTGATTTTTAATTTTTATCATTTAAAAATATTTATTATTTTTATTTTATGTGTATGAGTGTTTTTGCCTGCATGTAGGTAAGAGCTGCTGTGTTGTGCAATGGCCATAGAGGACAGAAGAAGGCGTCGCATCCCCTGGAACTGGAGTTACGGATGGTTGTTAGCTGCCATGTGGGTGCTGGGAATTGATCCTGGGTCCTCTGCAAGAGCAGGCACTGCTCTTAACCACTGAGCCATCTCTCCAGCTCCTCTACATCTTATTAATAATGAAAATTTCACAGCACATTGAACATTTTCCTATCACTGTATAAAATATTTTAAAGTATTTTTCATTTTATGGAGAAATATGTCTCTGTGGGCCAAATTCCTGGATCCTTTCAAAATTCCAAATGACAGCACTTTTAGAAAACCAATTGTATATACATATTTACATTAAAAAGAAGCAGTTAAGATAAACCTTGACATTTTAATAAACTGCTAAAAAGTATTCCATTTTCTAGAGGGTACAAATATAATCCACTCTGCACTGAGGCTGTAGACAGGAAATTACAGTCCCCTACAAAGGAACTGTTTCACAAAGTGCTAGTAGAGTCATTGTTATTATTATAAAGATCCAACTCTGAACTCTGTCTTCTATAGGTACTGCTCTTGTATTCTTTGCATAATTAAGTATAGAGAAGACCACGCTCTCTCTCTCTGTGTGTGTGTGGCCAGAGGTCCATCTCAGGTATAACTCAAGAGCTATCCACCTTGACTGTAAAACGAGATCTCTCACTGGACCTGAGGCTCACTCCTGGGCCTAGGCTGGACCTCCAGCAAGCCCCATGGATTCACTGGTCTTCATCTGCCTAGTGCTGGGATCCAAAGTGCTGACCACTTGCCTGGCACTTTTTATGGGTACTGGAAGCAGATTTGTGTCCTCATGCTTGTGTAGTAAGTACCAGCTCAGCTAGCTCCCAGCCCTAAAACACCACTTTTAAGTGGCATTCAAGCCTCTAAGTTATGCACATAAGTGGTGAGCTAGGAAGGCCCGTGTAGAACACCAGGACATTGTCACGTCCTTCTCTTGTACTGTACAGCTGCTAGGTGACACTACATATATTTTTAGCACTCAGATGCTGTTTTGATGTTGAGGATTTGAATCAATACAGGTAGGGAATCAAATGTGGGTAGGGGACCTAATACCTGTACTTCTCATTAGAATCAACTGCAGGGACACTGAAAGGTCTTGATGCTGATGACTAGAACATGAGAGACTTCACTGAGAAATACACATCATGAACAATGGGACCAGTGGCTACATGGCTTTAATTTTTAAGAGTGAACAAAGAGGATCGGCCCTCATCCCTAGGACTAAATATCAACTATTGGAGAAAAGAAGTTGAGGGCATTTTATATACATCAATATGAGTTGTATACTCATGCATAAACATAACTATAAACAAGCTGATATTTTAAATTGATTTAAATTTGATTTAAAAAATTTAAAAATTTGATTAAAAAAAATTTCATGTGTGCCTTCATGTGTGCAAGTGTACTAGTGTCGTGCAAAGCTGCAGAGGCCAGAAGAGGGCATCAGATCCCCTGGAACTAGAGTTAGGACAGTTATTAGCCACCATGTGGGTTCTGGGACTAGAACTCAGGCCCTTTGCAAGAGCAGCCAGTTCCCTTAATCGCTGAGCCATCTCCCCAGTCCCTAAATTGATGTTTTTGTAGAGCTGTTCATGAAATAACTATAAGACTTCATTTATCTCTCAGAGGAGCAGGGAACGTACATGACACTACCTTAAAAAGTCTTTCATAAAAGCCAGCACGTCTACATAGTAGTGAAAACACAAAGCCACTGTTGGGCGAGAGATTCCAGTTGGGCAGTTCTCTTTCATTCTGTCACTTGGTAATAGAATTATTTTTCTTCTGCTTATGTATTACATAATAATAAGTCTACCACCTTAGAAGCCATCACTTCTAATTGTCACGAGAGCAGTGTGGGGACATCATTCCTTATCAGATACTTTTATGCGGGTGATGTTGAAATAATGTAAGTCAGACAGAGGCTGTATGAGGATTCTGGTTTGTACCTTCACTCTAACATTACATTCTAATATCTTATCACCACTTGTCAAAACGTCTTATTTGGGCTATAGAGGGGGAAAAAATCTCATATGCCGCCAGAAATCAGACCAGATTGTTACAGATTAAATAGCTTTAGATTTCAGGTCCTTCTTAGATATGTCTTTAAAAAAAATTAAATATGTGGGGCTGGAGAGATGGCTCAGTGCTTAAAGAGCACTGATGGCTCTTGCAGAGGACCTGGGTTCATATCCCAGCACCTACATGGTGGCTGACAACCACATGTAACTCCAGTTCCAGGGGATCCAAAGCCCTCTTCTGTCCTCCATGGGGATTGCACGACACGGGTGCACCCATACACATGCAGGCAGTAACTCATATACATAAATAAAAATAGTAAACAAGACATTATTGAAACTTAAGTTTTTTCACTTTTGTCTATCCCTTACGCAGTATTCAAGTCCCTCAATAACGTTCCCGCCGTTACTCTCACTTTCCATCACAGTGCTCGGACACCACGACCAAAGACAACCTGAGGGAAGAGTTCATTTGGGCTGAAAGTTCCAGAGGGAGAGTCGATACTCATGGGGCAGGCCTGGCCGCAGGAGGCAGGGGCAGGGACAGGGGCGGGGCAGGAGCCTGGGAGGTCACATCTCAAGTGCACAGGAAGAAGATTGTGAACTGCAAGTGGGGCAAAGGTATAAGCCCCAGTCACGTGCTTCTTTCAGAAAAGTTCCACCTCCTAAAGGTTCCACATCCTCCCCAAACAGTGCCACCAATGGAGACCAAGTGTTCAAACACCTGAGCTGATGGGGGACATTTCTTATTCAAACCACCACAGTTATCTAAAATGATAACACTTCTAACATAAAACCAATTAAATGCATTCTGACAAAATACTAATTTTTGCTCTTGAGTCAAGTCATTGAATATTAACTATCCTATTGGGATGTTTATTAAAAATAGCAACCAACAAAACCCCAAAAGGCAACACCCATAGTGTTGGGTGTTGAGTAGCAAGGAAAATAAATACTTATACACAGAGCATTTACGCTCTGCAGTAACAGAGCAAAGTCAGTATCTTCCACGTGGAATCTAGGCTCCAATCACTATTACAAACACATGAGCCAAGACCACCATGTTCTAGATCAACCAAGAAGGCTTCATGGGAGAAATGATGTGACTCTGATCAGAGAGTTAAGGAGGGAAGAATTCTGTGTAGGACCAGCACGGGCAAAAGTAACAGGTGTGAGAAACCAGCCCAGCATAGAGACGAGTCAGCCATGCATCGAGGTCAACCGGGTGAGTGAAAGATCCCCATCTGGCCATCATGAGAACACAGTCTGAATGTAACAAGAAAGCTACGGGGTCCTTCAACGACCACACTGGGGGGTCTGAAGTGAAAGGGTGACTGTACAGCATTACCACTCGGCAAGAAAAAAGCCCCTTCAGAATTAGAACCTGGCCGAATAGAATGGACGAGAGCAGGGCACTGAGAGTCATGGGAGTGGCCTCAGTGGTGACAGTCACCAGTTTCTTCCGGTTTAGGAATTTTAATGGTCACTTCAGCTAAGTTTTCCAGGTGATGAGTTTCTCCTTTTAAAAAGGAGGTGTTTCTTCAAAGAGAATATCTGCTAAGTTCTGAGGGCCACCAGTCCTCCGCCCTAACCAATCCAGTTGTGAGGAATCTGGGGGTTTTTGAAAGTCCAAACTTTAATGAATGCTTATTAAATACCGGATGCAAGCTGGCGTCATTCTATCTTTACCAGTTAAGGAGACAGATAATGTCCTTCATCATTAAACTTACATTCTGCTAGAGGGTGATGAGCAGTAAACAACATGTGAATACAGAACGCATCACCTTACAGTCTGAGACAGTCGGCTCTGCTGTGGAGAAGCCCGAGACAAGCACAGCAAGGGAGCTGACAGGAGATGCAGACTTTGAGCTATCAGCATGCCCAGACTGTGGAAAAGGAGGTCAAAGACTCCAGTGGTCCTGGAATGCACTAAGCAAGCAGAGACAGAATGTTAGAAA